AAAAACAGAATAAAAGGTTCGGGCAAAAATTAGGGATATATTGAAAAAATGTACACCCGCGAAGTCGAAAACCTACACTGGGCGGCTTCGGCAAAAAAGGGTATCCCGGTGAACTGAAAACCCGTAAAGGGCGGTTCACGCAAAAGTTAGGGATTTAAATAAGCAAATGACTGCGTTCCGCGTGTGGACTTTCATTGTTTTGTGGTTTGGAAGACCTGAGGGCCGTTTATCTGAATCAATCTCTTCCGAAGCTGAAGCGTCGGAGAAGTATCGAAGTCGAGTGGGTCTTAGAGGGATCAACTCATGGTGTTCGTCTACGCCTCGTGGCCGACATTTGTATATACTGATGTATATTTATGTTTTCTTTTTGTGCGGCTTCCTCATTCCAGGAGTTTTCCTCTGTTGTAAAACATTTTTGCCCATTCAGGGGTTCATCATCAATAAAATGCACATTATTCAGCAATTCTGCTTGTCTGTTTAGCATTTATCTGTTTTGTTTGCGAATGAAAACGCCGATGTTTTTTGATAAAATACGCATACATAAACTTGCGGGCCTAGGCCCATTGGTTGTTGAAACAATTGATTACTTGAGTGTTGTCACGAGATAATAACCTTGATAGGCCCTTTTGAGGAGGGTATCTTGTCTGTTTGTTTGTGTTGTTACAGGTGTAGCACCTTCCAGAAGATGTGTCGTACGCATCCCCGAAGCAGGGAGAGTCCTCCCTCTCCAGTAGAGTTCTGTAGTCTCTCCTCCGCAGAATCTGAGCGCAGAATAGTGAGCATTGATATGTCTCCCCAGGCAGAGATGATTCTTTTCCCCAAGCAGACGCATCCTGAAGGAACGTCTCCTCATCGGCTGAGTCAAGGGCCGAAGCTCGTATTTCCCCCGCACCGGGTCACAAGTGCAGGTTTCATAGAAATGTTCGGGTGCCGAAGCTCGTGTTTTCCCCAGTAAAGTCGCCGAAGCAGGTGTCTCCCCCAGCACCGGGTCACAAGTGCAAGTCTTGTAGGAAGTTGTTCGTACGCCAAAGTATGCAACAACTGTTGGTGCCAGACCGAGGTCTCTAGCGGAATTGAGATTCCCCACTAGAGTTATATTCTCTCCTGAAGTTGGATGATTCCCTCTTCCCCAGTAGAGTGTTGGAACAGCTGATGTTGTATTCCCCTGCAGAGTTGTACTCTCCCCCGAAGTCAGATGATTCTTTCTTCCCCAGCGAAATTGAAATTCCTCATCAGAGTCGTACTCTCCAGTGAAGTAGAATGATTTCTCTCCCCGGCTGAGTCCGCAAAAAAGCCAAATCCTTGGAAGCAGTTGGGACCATGAGTGGATTTTCCCTAGCAGATGTTGAACAGCTGATGTTGTATCTCCCCAGAGTCGTACTCTCTTCGGCGAAGCAGAATGACTTCTCCTTCCTCAGCCGAGTTTGCGGATGTCCAAGAGAGCCGAGTCCTTGGAAGTTGATCGGACCATGTTTTCCCCAGTGGAGTGTGGAGTAGCTGAAGTTGTTTCCCCACAGAGTGGTTATCCCCAGAAAAGTAGCCATGACGGCCGCGCAGTTCATTCTCGCGATGGATATCAGCAGGTCCAGGTTCTCGTAGAGCTTCGTCCCCCTGCAGCAGATCAACTGAAGTTGTTTTCCCCGCAGCAGTCCGCAGAAGATCAATTCCCCAGACAGAGTCCAATTGATGTTGGCATGCCCACGTTCTCCTCAGCAGGATGATTCCTCTATCTGAGTAGTGTAGCGGTAAAAATCGTGAGTATAAGTTATTGACTAACTTAACTCAAAGAAAACAAGAGTCGCCACCGCACTTTTATTTTATCCAAATACAGGAAAGGAAAAAGAGCGAACAAAACCAAAGAGTTCTAAAATAAGAACACGAGACAGAGATCGGGGTAAGGGGGTTGGTTACGCAATGGGAAGGTGTTAGCACCCAAAACGTCTATAGTACTCTATAGGAGCCCTTTGAAATATTTTCGCTTTTTGGTTTGAAAATGGTTTGTTTGAAAAGAGATTGGGGAGATGAGAAGAGAATTATTTTTTTATATTTTTGTGTTTGGAGAGACTTATCGTCTCATGCCTACGTACCCATAAAGTGCAATATGGAATCAAAACCCCGTAGTTCGTGGTACAAATGACAAAATTTTGTTGGTTTTGATTGATTTTAGATGTTCAAACAAGTCGTCATTTCAAGGAGAAAACTGCGACTATCCACCCACGAGTATTAAGACAACATTTGCATCACATAAAGATGGAGGATTTGCTTGGATTATCAACAAGACTATCACTCAACATCAACGTGGAAAATGTCAAAGTCTTAATAATATGGGGAATAGGAGATTTACATCTCAACTATAGAAATGAATCATGTCTAAACTTTATGAAAAGTTTTAAAGCGAAAAGTGCATAAAGGCACAAAAAGAGTTGATGAGTTTTTGTATTTTTTATGTCTTTTGAAATTGGTCAAAGCATGATTAACATTGATTGACTTTTATTAAGAAAAACAAAGTTTAAAAATCACTTGACAAAAGTCAAGGTTTTATTGCGAAAGCGGTTTTGAAGTTTGAAACCAAGAAGGTTTTTGAAAGAGGGAGAAAGTTTTGAAAATTTAAGAAGGGGAGGAGATGAAGTGACTATCCTAAAAAACAAAATAAGAGCTAGAGATAAGAAAGATCTAACCGACTTGTGGCACACTCCAAAGCAAGCAAAAAGAATTCCATCCGATTTAAAGTATAAGCCAGTGATCGAGCCAAATAAAGGCTAAGATTCAAAATTCTCCAAGCATAGGGAAGAAAGTCCTAATCCTAAGTCCAAAATGTCCATGAAGTCCAAGGTCTAAGAATGGTCCAAGAGTATAACCACAAAGTTAATAGCACCAATTTTTTTAGATGTTTTATCCTTTATTAGTGTTTTGAACAAAGTATGGTCCAAGTGGACAAAAGAAAAATGACATAAACATAAACAAAGATATGGTATGTAATGATAAAATGGAAGCATAAAAGTAAAAAATAAAGAGTAAGAAGAGAATATAAACAAAATTAAACAAGGATATTGTTAGTGAATTAGTAGTTAGTGGTTAGAACATATGATCAATGATGATTAATTCTTGCACTTAGACCAAGATTAATGAAAATTCATTAGAGGATTGATAGAATCAAAGCCTCCTAACAATGATTTTCATAGGTATTGGAGTTAAGACAAGCAACTAAACATACTTGGACTTTTAAACGTAAGTTTGAGCCACGAATGATCATTTTCCGATTAAGGGACACTTTAGCGCTATGTTAAGCAATCGTAATCGGGTTTATGTAGAAACCACGACTATCTGAGGCCGGTCAATAAAATGTTAGTGTTAATACATGTTAGAGAAGTGATATGTAAATCACTCTCCTAAAACATGCCACACAAAAAGAAAAGAGGTAATGATCTCATCATAATCAAGATTTTTAATTAATTAATCAAAGGTAATCTATCACTATTCCAAAGTAAGGAGAATTATCTCAATGATTATTCGTCCATAGTTTTGAAATAATGAAGATTAATCAACCTTGATAATCAACAATCTATGATCCATAGATTTCATCGATCAAAAATAAAAAGAAGAAAAAAAAGAAAATGAAATCACAATTTGAATCTCGAATCGATTAAATTATCGTCAATATCAATCACCTCTCTTGGTGGATAAAATCAACACCCAAAGTCCATTGATATTGATGAAATCTTATCAACATCAAGATCCAAAACAATCAACACTTAATCAAAATATTTTTAAAAAAAATTTTAAAAGCTTTTTCAGAAATGAAATTAAAATACAAATTTAATAATAAAAGAAAAATGTGGAAAAATCCACATAGTTAAGAAATGAAAAAAGAAAATAAAAATAAACAAATAAAAGAAAAGTAATATTGAAAAGCAGAAAGAGAAAACGAAACAGAGTTATCTTCTTCTTCTAGCTCTCACACGCGAAAACATTCACGGCCATGGATGCTAGCTTAAATCACAACGGCGGGACGCGAAAAATACGCGGTTGCAATCGAAATCAAGAGCTCTTCACAATGGTACCAACAATTCAAAGAATCACAACAAAAGGTAACGGATCGAAAATGACGGTGAAGCTCAATCTACCTTCAAACTCAGGTAAGAAATCAATCCAAGCTTCTTCTTGCTTCTCTTCTTCTTCTGAACGAATTCTGGTTCGAAATTGATCTGTGTTTGAGGTTGATTTGAAGTTAATTTGGTGGAATGAAGTATGAGAAGAGAATGAACGAAGGTTTTTCTGGTAGTGAGGAATTTGAGGAAGAAAATCAGCAGAGGTTTTTTGGCTTGAAAAGCTTGAGCAAATGAGTGAGAGATGAATTGTATTTATAGATGAGAATGGGTGAAAATGATTTGCCGTTTGTGAGATTTTTTTCTGCGTTTTGGGATGCAAGTTATGTGTGACCTTTTGCTGATATCTTTTCATGTCGTTTTTGCTTTCTCATTTTTAGCTCATCACGTGTTATTCTTTCTTTTCACTTTTTCAGCTCACTTGGGTGACGTGGATTATTTTTCAACTGGCTCATATGCTATTTATTTTTGTTTCAGCTTGTGAATATGGCTTGGTTAATGGCTCACATTGATTGATGGCTGAAGTAGTGATATTTTTCACTTATTTCATATGGACTCAGTTCCTCTGGTGCAGGACTGGAATTTTGCAGTTGTTGTTGATTCTGAATTATATAGGGATCGAGTTCGGTAATACGGCAAAACCGTTCGTACCAGAATCTTCCTGCCGTGATTGAAATGCTTCCCTCTTAAGTGCATGAACGAAATGATAATCTATCTTCATCCAATAAGCACAAGAACAAGGAAATAAATGAAACCCTGCTAATATTACAAACCTCACCCACTTTTCTGTACAGTTTTTTTTTGCCAGCTAATGGAGAAGGTGATCTCAACTTCCTTCTGAGCTGATAACAACTCACTCTCCGCCATGCCATATAGCCATACATATATTGCCTATTATATTCGCAGTGGCAATCCAAAATTTTGGAAAGTTCTAATTTCACCTCGAAGACCGGCAGTAACAATCACCATACCCCAAGCTGACATTTTTTTACTTACACCATTTGAGATATCCGTACTGATACGAGGGCTTTGATGATTTCTAGCAGCCAGGAGAAGTTTTTCCTCTGGCCACGTTGCAGAAATTCTATCAAAAAAGTAACTGTTTGTCGCACTCGCAATGGTTGCATGATGCGGACTATTGAAACCTGAAGCAGAATGGGAACCCTCAACACCAAAGTTTTCCTCTACAGGGGTAGGAGGATGATTGGCTAATGCGATTTCATCATTATTGTTATCAAGCTCAGGTTGTTCTCCAGAAAATGTATCATGCATGTCTCATGCCTCACCCATACCAGGCCAGGGAATGGCCACTGACACATCTTTACAGTGAAAATGTTCATAGGACTGTGTCACGGTGACACTTTTACTTCTGTTAGGTCTGCAATCGGCTTCATTTTTCCTTTGAAATCTGACTACTTGCGTTTCGAAAACCTTTAAACTTATGAACCAGATCAATACCATCAACAACCCGAATTCGAGAATCAGCAGAAGTGATAAGTACTTCCGATGAACTACCTGGGGCAAACTGGAAACTAGTAATTCTTGTGATTTGATTTCTTTTTTTTTTTGTTCTGCAAATTGATCTGACTTTTCTGCTGCAACTTATTTTCAGATGTATTATATAAATGACAGCTACCCTTGTATGAACCAACTAGTGCACCCTGGCCATCAGGCGTATAACATGCAGCAGTGACCATCTCATGAAGATCAATCCAATCAACAACTTGTCGATCAGGAACACTCCATATGCGAACCTTAGCATCCAAAGATCCGCTAATGAAGTATCGATCATCAACAGGATTAAACTGAATGCAAGTTACATAGTCACTGTGTGAAAAAATCTTCAAACAAGACTTGCTAAACAAATGCCACAGCCGCACTGTTTTGTCCATTGAAGATGAGAGCAAGTGCTGAGACTTAGACTAGGAGAGGTCAAGCACATCATGCAAATGTCCCTTTCCTCTCAGACACAGAGTTTGATTCACAAGCTTCTAACATCAAATAATGCCGATCAAGAATTCCATGTGAGTCCTTCAGAACCTTTTGAAACGCCCCTTCACCAGTCAGATTCAAGTAGCTCCCCCTGCATACTTGGCTTCCACACAAACAAACTGATGCTTCATACTCCTCCTTGCTCTCAGTAACAGAATTGTAATCAAAAGTGATCTCCTCACCATGTTGAATTTTACGAACACTATAAATACCAATTTGATACTGACCATTAACAGCAGTGACTTTGGCTTCACAATTGGGTCGGCAAGAATGACATATTCGACTGGCATAATTAGCCTTGTGCATGGCATCAACGACAACTAGGTCATACCCGTCCGCATCACCCTTTGGTCTCTCAAGGTAGATGTTATAGAACTCTGGTGCTGGATCTGTACTATCTTTCTGCAGAGATCGAATCCCATCTTGTTTCTCAAACCACTTCCACACAGGATAAACCTCTCCCAAAAACTCCACAACAAAATCATCTTGAGAGAAGCCTTCTTCCTTGTTGCAAACAACACCAAGCCCCTTTCTATAAGCTACATATTTGTCATCTGGACGACTGGGAAGAAGGTCACGCAAAATTATAATTAAAAAGTCTTCATTCATGCCTCTTTCATGAATTTCATCCACCAGCAAATGACTAACACCAGTCAACTCGGGATCTTGGACCAGTTGCCGAAGTAATACACCAGTGGTGCAGAAAAGAAGGCGTGTATCCGCAGAACGTTTTGCTTCAAGACGGATGTGGTACCCAACAGTTTTGCCAAGAGTTTCCCCTCTTTCAGCTGATATACGAGCTGCAACAGAAATTGCAGATACACGACGAGGCTGAGTACAAATTATATTGCAGTCAGCTCCACGCAAACGTGATATTTCTTCTTCCAAAATGAATTGTGGTAGCTGTGTTGTTTTGCCACAGCCTGTCTCTCCTGAAACTACCAATACCTGATTTTCTTGAACAGCTTTCAGAAACTCAGACTTCATTTTAAATGCAGGAAGCTTCTCCCTAAATGATTTCATTTCCTTCAAACTATCACTTGTCTGCTCCAGTTCCTGTCTTTCTTTGAGTGCAACACTGAGTTTCTCCTTTGAAGTATCAGTCTGTTGTGAAGCCGATTTTGTAGTCGTTGTTGATATTTTATGTTCCATCTCAGACATATCACTAGAAGGAAAGCCTCTCGTGAGAGCAGGGTTGTCAAAGTCCTGATGGCTATAAATTTAACTCTGATGCTGCTGTTCTTCAATTTTATCTGGAATTTCTTGCTGCTGCCATTTTGTTCGAAGACATGTTCAATGTTTTCAGAAACAGTGTTTGTATGTGCAGGATTAAATAAGTCTAGTTGTGAATCTGTGTGTTTATCAGCAAATTCATTAAGAGTTTGAAGAGCCGGAGAATGAGCATCTTCATTGTGTACAACATCCAATGTCGCACCTTGGTCCTCATGCATCTCAATGACTTTGTCTTCTGTTGCTGTGCCATACTCATCAGTACCGCAGATGTAAATAGCATTATAATCCCGAAGCCAACAATACCGAGCGAACACATCGGTACTCAGCACACTTCCAATGATGTTGCCGAGATGAGGAACGTTGTTGACGTAAGGCAGAGCACTGGTGATGAGGATGTTGCGCTTTCCTGTGATCTAGAAGTTTTTGTATTATAGCAGCTAATGACAAAATTTTATGATATGTTCCCTAGAACATTTATAACATACACATGCTCTTGCATATCTTTTGAGAATCTGGTGAACTGATTCCTCAGGTTGGATGTTAAACTGGATCCTCTGATAAAGGCCTGATCTTCAACAAACATGCCATCATCACCATTTTCTGAAACATTTGCTCCGTTAGATGTTAGTGTCCTCTTGGATTCCATGGGAGCAAATCCTTTCAACTGCAATACTAGTTGCACTAATACTCCACTCCTTTACAACAGTAGTTGGTCTATCATCTTTAGTGATCAATCAAAGCCCAACTTGTCCAGTCTCAATGCCTTGTTTAGCACCAGCAACAAGAATCTCCCAGAAAATCTTCTTCTGAAACTCAGTACCTAAAATACAGACAGGACCAGACTCAGGTTGAATGATCAATGCAATAGAGAAGCTGATTTTTGACTTTGACATAGACTAGAATTAATTGGACCACAATGCCTGCCACATGCAGTTGGCTCGTCATATAACACCTGTAACTTCTGCCTTAAGTGCACGACGTTCTAATTGTGAGGCACGTATTCTACGTGCAATGTTTGAGACCCTCTCTCGAGCAAAAGAATCATCTAAAACGGAATCTCCTCCAACTTTCTGCATGCATGAGCAATATTGACTTCAGTTGGCTCCCATATTTCACTTAAAGCGGTCGGGATGAGGGCTAACGTTTTCTCGAACCACCACACTGCTTTCTTGTACTCTTTCATATAATAAGCAACAACTCCTAGTTCATTATACACAAGTGGATCCGATGAGCAAATTGACTTCGCCTGCATGAAAAACTGTTCAGCAAGCTTATAGCTGTGAGTCTGTATGCATTCCATTCTAATATAAAGAGCTGGTAAATGGCACCCAGGAAATAATCGATCTGCAGTGCGGTAAGCTGACATAACCTGATCACCTTCTTCCTGAGCTGTAAAGGCATTCCCATAGTCTCTCCATGCAGGGGGGAATGTTCCATCTAGACTTGTCGCCTTGCTGAAATAACGGCGGGACTGGTCATATTTCTTGATACAATAGCAATAGCAACCAATAGCAAACCATGATAAAGCCTTTTGAGGATAATCCTTCACTAAATTGCATGCCATAAGATAGAGTTCATTTGAATTCCCAAGCTCCATAACAGCTGCCAGATGTACTAATGTGCTCTTGATATGAAAAGGATCCTTCTCAAGCAAAACAAATATTAATTCGAAACAGAAGGATTATACTGGTCAGTTTTACAGCTCTCGTTCTCAAGATGTCTAAACTTGGCTTCTACAACAACTTCTTTATCATACTTCTTAACCAAACAAGAATAAAATGATGAAAGCCATCCATCCTCATTTCCAAATTGCAATGATGAGATCAAATTAGTTTCTTCATCACATATAAACATGTGATTTTCAATAAGGCATTTCAAAGCCTCATAGCATAAGGGATCCGCTTTTATAGCCACTTTGTACCACAAACGAGCCTGAGAATGGTTCTCTAAAGCTTCATATGCTTTGCCTCTCAAGAAACATATTGCAGAAGATATATTGATTTCACGATCTTCACTGTCTTTATCCAAGTACATAACATTAGAGTCCTTGGTATCAATCCCTTTTTGCAAAATCCTAAACACACAGAGAAGAAGAAACAGACAAATTGAAAAATGTTTTTGGTATTTTGGTTAGAGGTTAGTAAACATAAAGCAAGTAAGAAACAACACAAGGGTGAGAGAACCAAAAAGTACGATCTTGTTTGTGGAATGATATGCAAAAATGAAATGTGGGATCTTAGGGGTAAAAATTTGGGTATTACAAGTAGTTCTTTCTCCTTGACAGGAGAATTCCCCTTCGGCATTTATTTTGCTGACGGGATTGCATAGCATTGTGCATGATTGCATAGCATTTAGCATAAACGCATATCATTCCCACCGTGTGGGGCATGGCGCAGAAGTATACGCATCATAAGCATGATCTATGTTACTATCATTCTTGTTTTACAGGCGTTCCACCAAGAGACCAGTTGCTCAGGATGATCCCTGATATTCTCCCCAACGAGGTCGTTTTCCTAAGATGATCCTTAAGACCCCGGTGTAATCCCCACAGTCGCTCGCTCAGGATGATTCTCGAGATCCCAGCGAAGTCTTCAGTTCGAGATGATTCTCGAATCCCTCAGCAGGGCCATTTGCTTAAGATGTTTCTTAAGACCTCAGTACAGCTTCCCGAGTTGTTTGCTTAGGATGATTCTTAAGCTCCCCAGTAGCGTCCCCAGCAAGGGTTGCCCAGGAAGATTCCTGGAATACCCAGCAGAATGAAGTCTCCAGAATGGTTATCGGTTCAGGATGATTCTTGAAGGTGCCCGACGGAGTTGTTTGTTCAAGATGATTCTTGAAGTCCTTAGCAGCGTGATATGTCTGCTCCAACAGTGATGTCTAATCTGAAGATTGACTTCGTAAACGCCTGAAGGCGGTACCAGAATGTTCCTGTGGATTCAGGTTTCAGTGCTGATGAATCAGCGCTTATCTGAAGACAGAGTTCAAGAGTTCGTAGATCCAGCTTGTGTATGCAAGGTGGTCCGTATTGGCCTGAAGACCAAGTCAGT